GCATTTAGGTTTTTTAGGGTTTAGGGTTTAGGGTTCTGTGTTTTTTGGCTTGAGGCTTCGCGTTGGTTGAGTAGTAGGGTTGGGCTCTGAGGCTTAGGGCAGGGTTTGGGGCTTAGGGTTGTCGAAGATATTCCTGTCAAGGTGTACGTGTAAGTCTAGTCGCTCTGGCCGATTGCTGCAACCCACACCTCGAAACCCCAGTGTCTTCGGCGGACAGCTTTGCTAGCATCTTTGCAGTCTATGCAGCATATGTCAATCTCTCTCTCTCTCTCGCACTGGTGCTATCTGCATCATGTAGTCTTTCTGTCTCGTTGCTTCCTGTTCTGCGTGCCCTAAAATCCCAAAGCCCTGAACTTTATTTATTAAGCTTTACACCTCAGATTCAAGCCCAAGACCTTGAAACCCAAACAACCGAGAGCGATCGTGCGAGCGCAAACTCTAGATACCCTAAACCACGAACCCGAAAAAAACCCTGAAGCCTAAAGCCTAAGCCTTAAGCATCATAGAAGACCATAAACAACCTAAGCTAAGCAACCTAGCCCACTCTTGAGCCTGCCTCGTCCGATCTCATGTCGTTCCGAGAAGGCTGTCGTGGCTTCTGGGGCACCACCGAATCCGCGCTCCGCTGCTCCAGGTCCTGGCTGCAGGGTTTAGAGTTTAGGTCTTTAGGATTTAGGGTTTAGGGTTCAGGGGTTTAGGGTTTAGGGAGTTTATGTCTTATGGTGTTTTGAAAATGTGTTAGCCTCAAGTTCAAGGGCCCCGATCTGGGGTTGCAGGGTTTAGGAATCGGGGTTGTTGTTAGGCTTTCCGGCTGTTAGGGCTTTCTTTCAATTTACTATTGCCTTCCGACCGGTCCGTAGGAGCCCAGTTCTCCAAGACCCACCGAGTGTGCGGTCCAGGGAGCCTGTTGCCTACTGTAATGTACCCCCAAAGCCTATTCTATTTTAACAAGGCCGGTATTAATTATTTAAGTCGGGAATACCAGGGCTTTGGGGAGTGCTATTTGTAAATTCGCACGGCTACCACAAACCCCTGTAAGATCAGTGTACACAGAACAGGTGCGACAAAAAACCTTCCCTAAGGCTCTATAGTTGTCTAAGTCGTAGGCTTACTAAAAACCTGTTACACAAACCCCGCTATGTGTAACCGGCGGACCCAATATTTAGACCACCTGGAGCCTCAGGGCTTCTCATACTCAACCCTCTCGCTTCACTCTTTAAACCCCTAAACCCCTCAACCCCCTGAATCCTAAACCACTGAACCCTAGACTCCTACACCCCTAAACCCCTAAAGCCTAAACCCTAAACCCACAAATCTCCCCTTATATAAAAAACCCTAAGACCCGCTGGCTCCTGAAGACCCTGAGGCTTCCGCGCCATGACACTCCTCGCACCGCCGAAGAGTAGGACGGAAGAGAGTGCGGAATAACCCTAAACCCTAAACCCTAAACCCTAAACCCTAAACCCTAAACCCTAAACCCTAAAGCTAAACCCTAAAGCCCTATAAAGGTTGAATTAGACTTCTTTCTACCTCTCAGGGTTTGGGGGTGTAGGGTGCGCAGATGTTGATATTTGGGGTTTAGGGCGTATAGTTCTTCAATGCCAAACTTTCAATCTTCTTGGTGGGTTCTCGCGCATGAGCATTCTGCTGAAGTGTTTAGTTTTTTTTGGCTTGGTTATTGGGGAAAGCGCGCCAGACCCTCAAACCAAGACCGCAAGAGCAATGGACCAAAGCAATCCACCTCAAGGCCCTAAAATTTGACAAGCCGGAATAGTTAGTCAATATAGAGGCCTAAATAGTGACCAATTATGATTGTAGTATACTCTACCCCAAAACCAAATTCTAATTATTAAGGCCCCTATATTCTAGTCATTCCTGAGGGTTCCCGACTAGACTTTTCTTATTATGCACACCAAGACACTAGTCTAGTTTTTACGGCCATACTTCGAAAACCCGGTACAGTGTAGTAACTCTTATACCCTTAAATCGAAGCTTTGCAAGGAGCCCTGATCATAGGCGCGCGAAGATTAGGACTTGCATGGATTTAGGATGATTGTAGGCTTTAGGGTTTAGGGGAACCCTAAACCCTAAACCCTATAAAAGTGTAGGGTGTAAACAGAGGACGATTCGCATCTTGGGCTCTGCGGCCATCAACTTCGCCTGGCTGGCGTGCGGTCGCCTAGATGCCTGGTTTGAGGCATGCTGCTGTGCGTGGTGCGTGGGTTTATGGTTTTACTAGGGTTCAGGGATTCAGAATTTGATTCATGGATTTTGTGTTTAGGGTTTGGGTCTGGGTATCGTGTGTCAGCGTTTGCATTTCAGGAAGAAGGGTTGGGACTAGGCTATGGCTAGGGTCTTGAGACTCTGGTCGGATGGCTTTCTGTTCAGGAGTGTTGGGGTTTAAGGGACGGTGGTTTGTCTTAACCCCAAAGAAGTCCATGGCCCTCATGTCCTGAGCTCTAAATGAGCTCTACAGGCCCGGAAGCCGTATAGCCCTGTAAGTCCTGCATTGTGTTCTCCACTCCAGGGGCCCGGAGAAAAGCCCGAAGCCCTCAACCGGGACACTCGTAGGGAAACTTCGTGTTGAGGGGGAGTGTAGGGTTCACGGCGTTTTGGTCAAGGGTACATGACCACTTCCCTTAATGGCGCTACTGTTTTCAAGTCACCGCAGGTGGACCTGAACAGCTGGGATTCTGCTGCAGGTGTGCTTTTGGTGGAAGAGGTCGGGGGGGCTGGGGAGCAAGACAGAGTCAACAGCTAGTGTGGAAGAGGGATTGCAAGCGCAACTCATGCAGAAGCTCTGCCAGATATTATTAAGATATTATTATGCATAGATTTCTAGACTTGTTTCAGGCCTATATTGAACAAGGTTGTTCCAAAATCCTACATGTGGGTTCATACTGACGGTGGGACGTCTGGGCTTGTTCAGCTGCCTGCGTTGCCTTTCAAGGTCTAAGCCTCAACGTTCGTGTGTTGATGCCTCAGCGCATCGTGCTGTAATGTAGGGGCCGAAATAGTTACCAATATTTTTTGGGGGGTTCCTTACTACAACTATAGCATACTGGGCCCCCAAACCCTATTGTAATTATTAAGGCCCCTACTAAAGAGCCCTACTATATAGATCTCTTATAGCACCTTTTAAGGATCCCTTTAGAGGAACCCTATTCTAACTATTAAGGGTTCGATCCTGGTCCCATTAGCATCAGTCAGTTGAAGGGCCGCTATGTCACTGAACTACGGCTCTAAGATCCCCTCGAACTGGCAATAGACACTCCGGAGGGAAGGTGCACACCCTAAAGGGTTTTGGGTTTATAGGGTTCAGGGTCAAGGGATTAGGGTTTAGGGTTTAGGGATTAGGGTTCAGGGTTAAGGGTTTAGCCTTCATGGGGTTTAGGGTTTCGGGACTAGGGTTCAGGGTTTAGGGCCTTCCGAGACATTTCATGCCCAAAGCCTTCGGCCTCAAAGCCCGACGGCCTAGCTGGAGAATTTTAGCCACAGCTGCCGGGATGGAGGCATTTCCGCCCCGTAGAACACACAACCTCCATACACCCTAAACCTCCCTAAACCATTCCTAAACTCCTAAACCCCTAAACCCTAAGCCCTAAACCCTGAACCCCTAAACCCTAAGCCCTAAACCCTAAACCCTCAACCCTAAACATTACAATCCTTAATCCTCATATGATCGCCCCTTCGATGCATCCGAGGCCGGCGGCCGCGTTACCGATTGCCTTGGCAACCGGGCTCTTGTTAAGGAACTTTTTTGAGATATAAGCTACCATCATAGAGATCTATAGCAAATAATAGGGTTTCCTTGTTATGGTAACTTAAATCACAGTGCGCCCCAAAAAGTTGCAACATGGATTTAGGATGACGCCTGTAAAAGCATTGGGATGTCGATGTTCCAACTTTCCCGTTCCTACTGTATCTTCCTAAGGGTCCATGCACCCAAATAGCATATACTTTGGCCTTAAAGTATTCCCTAACTAGGTACTTTGAGGCCAAAGTGTATGGGTAATTCTCTAAATCAGGGTCCCTTTTTAGGTCCCCAATATAGTACGGCACCCTTAGTTTAAAAAAAAGAAACCAACAAGTACCTTTTTTTAGAGAACTACCCATATACCATTTGGGTACATAGACCCTTAGGGAAATTCCTTATCAAGAGCCCAGGCAACGAATTCACGTTGACAACTCGGCCCATCTGCGCCAGCAATGGCCGCATCCACGAGGAGCTCTTGAAGGTTCACTGTATCAGTTTAGTTTGTAGACCTGTATGCTGTATATATGTATTTATTTTCTATACATATACATATATATATATATACACTTATAGATCTGTATGTGTGTGTATATATATATATACATATCTATCTATCTATCTATCGATCTATCTATCGGTCTATCTATCTATCTATCTATCTATCTATCTATCTATCTATCTATATATATATAGAGAGAGAGATGCGTGCGGGCTATGAAAGATACGGTATGCTGAGATAAGTTAAGGTGGGATTTAGTAGCACGATAAAGCGTTGCACCTGTTGAATAATGTAGCGTGTGCTGTAATGTTCTGAGAAAGCACAATAGTAGACGGTTGTAACATATCGTACATGCTAGTATGACACTGCAGTTCGTAGTTTAATATAGCGAAATCTGTTTCAGAACTCTTATGTAATCAAAGAAACAAGTTGTATAGAGTTCTAACCAAGAATGGTACAACATGAGGCAATGCTACAACATCATCTAGGGCTTCAGAAAGAAGTCGAATCTAAACCCCTGACATTCAACAACTTCTTCCAGCTCTGAGTCAGGTTCTTGCGGTCGCAGAGTGCACGGGCCTCGATGCTGAGTCAGCTGACGACATTGGCTCGTAGCCAGTCTTGATCCGAAAACGGACGAGGTCAATGCTTCAAGCAGGAGTTCAATAATATGATAGCCGGGTGTTTTGTGAGATGATGAACCCTAAACTCTAAGCCCTAAACCCGGGCTGCCATGTTGGTTTGCATTGCTGTGAGCCTTGGTTTTGGCTTGAGCCTTGGTCTTGGCGGATGGGATCAGAGATTGGAGGGTGGTCTCGCGCACTCCTGGTAGACGCCTGCTAGCTGAAGAAAAGGCTCTGCAGTGCACATTGCAACAGGGCGTCTTGCAGCGAGTTCCGAACTTTCAAGCTCAATTTGGGAAAGACATGCTTATGGAACTTCGTGATGTTTAGGCTCGGCGGTAGGGCCAACACCAAATTGCACCGGGAAGCTCCTTGTCCACAATGCCTTCCGTGGCCACAGGCGCCTGGGAACGGGCAGCCGGCGCAGCTTCCTGCTTAGATTTTATGGGGATATCCCTACCTTCTTGGGATCCCTTCTTGGGATCGAGTGTACGGTGATTTACATGGGACTTCCCTATCGCTTCTGGCTGCCAGGTTGAGTTTAGGGGGTCTAGCAGCCAGATCAATGCACATATTCAGAGGTGAAATCCTCAGAGGGCGGTGGTTGGTGCAGTTGTGGTACTAGCTTTGCCAAGTGGGGATGCAGAGTTGAACAAGGGTGTAGCTACCCATAGGCCACATAGTAGTTCCAATTTGCGGCTTATATTTAGGATCCTAGTGGGTAGTCCCAAAAAGGAACTACCATGGGGCCTATGGGATCCTAGTAGGTAATCCCAAAAAGGTACTACTATGGGGCCTAGGGGCAGAGGAGTCGGAATTTGAGCCTTCGTTTGCTAGGAAGCACCGGTGAATCCCCAACCTCTGTCGAGGCAAAGCTTCAGGATTTAGGGTCTTTTGGGGTTTGGGGTTTATGTGTCGTTTGGGGTTTAGGGTTTATGTGTCTTTGGGGGTTTAGGGTTTAGGGTCTTTTGGGGTTTAGGGCCTAGGGTCTTTTGGGGTTTAGGGTCTAGGGTCTTTTGGGGTTTGGGGTTTAGGTTCTTTTGGGGTTTAGGGTTTAGTGTCTTTGGGGATTTAGGGTCTTTTGAGTTTAGGGTTTCTGGTCTTTTGGGGTTTTGGGTTTAGGTTTAGGGTTTAGGGTTTAGGAAGATGGGACTGGCAATCGTGAGAAAACTGTTTGCAAGCCGTACGCGGCTGAGGGCTTAAGCATTCAGGAGACCCTCACCTTCCATAAACTCCTAAACTTAGTTCCCCAATACTTAACCTTGGCACCTTTTGGGTGCTTATATTAGAATTTTTATGTAGTAATCTGAAAGTTTTAGGTTCTACTTCCCTGATTATTTGGGAAAGCAAGCTAAACCCTTAAAGCCTCTTTGCGGGACGAAGGGCGGATCCCCAGAACAAGGATTGCAAGAGCCACAGGAACAGGGTTTAGGGTTTAGGGCTCAGGGTTTAGGGTTTAGGGCTTAGGGCTTTGGGTTTAGGGTTTAGGGTTTAGGGCTTAAGACCCCGAATCTCTTCCGAGCCCCACATGATTGACCTTTTGTGCTCTTGAGGGTTTGGGGTTTAGGGTAAGGCTCGGCGCCGGAGTTGCCAGCATTCGATTTTTCTTCCTCGACAAAACTACGTGATTTCAGAACAGGCCACCCGTTCGTTCTCACACTTCAGGCTGTGAAGCCCTGCAGCGTACTTGTGGCATATTTCATAAGGGGCCCAAAGTTGTTTCAGAAAGCCGGACATATTCACGGAGGTGCATACACTCTGATTTCAATCTTCTTATCCCTGAACCGTGGACCTTGTAAAGCTTTCCCTTCAAGGCTGAAAGCATATGTTGTATGCCAAGATCCCCGGATCGTGGTCGTGCCCTCGATGTTTAGGGTTTAGGGTTTAGGGTTTAGGGGCTTTACAGCTCAGGACAGGATGTGGCTGTAAGGTCTACGCGGCTGAAGTTGTTTATTGCTGTGGGTGCTTGCACAGTTCGCATTTCTGTTTCAGTGTAATGGACCGCTTAGGGACTTAGGGCCTAAATAATTGCCAATACTATGTTTGTTTTTTTTTTTTTTTTTTT